GGGGGGGGGTAAGTTGCTGGCCAGCCAAGGGGCTGCTTGCGCAGCTCAACGGCCTGCTCCGCTATGTCAGAGGTCAGATAGCAGCTCAACCTTCCTCATATTTTGTTTCGTTAATCGTCCCAATCCTGATTGAATATTACGGTTGTGTTTGTTTGGACTGTCGTTGGCCGCTCTGCGGGGCGGCCGTGGTATGGTGGGGGATTTCGACTGCTTTGACACACAAGGCGATGCGACCATACTGTTGTCGAATTGGAATCACCACCGCACCGGCGAGTGCGCCCCGCCCCGCCCCGCCCCGCCATGCGAGGGGGCCCAAGTGGGGCTCCGATGAGCCTGCGCGGTGGGGCCCCACTCGTGCGATTCCGGGTCCAGCAGGCCGGGGTCTCCTCGCGGCCAGCGCGGCGGCGGGGGAACAATGGCGGGCAATCATCGGTCCTGCCGCCCCTCTTTCCGCCTCTCTCTCTTTCTCTCTCTCTCTCCATAGCTCAGCCCCACCCTCTCTCCCGCGTCTTTCCTTTGCAGCCTCGGCGTGAAACAGTTGTTGTTGTCAAACGAGAGGGACTGCCGCCAATAATAAGTTGAGGAAGTCCCGTGCGTCCGGGCCGGGCGCCGGGCCGCTCTGACGCGCTGGCGCCACACGCACTGGAATGCCGACGGGCGCCAAAAACAGCAGCGCCGCCGCCACTGCCGCGCTCTGACACGACCGCTGCCCGCGGAGGGAAAAACAGACGACGACGACCTGCGCCGGCGGGAGCAGCAGAGTGGGATATTACATAAGCCAATCACGGCGCGCGGAGAGGAAATCTGGAATTCCTCAGCCTGAATACCGACCAATTCATACGCAGGGGGAGGGGAGGCGGGTCAAGTAGTAACGACATCGTCGGCTCCCCGCTGCTGCTGTCCGCACCGGCCACAAGGACCTCCACAACCTGCTGCCGTCCTGCCGCCGCCGCCACCTGTCCACAAAGGTGATATGGCTCTGGCTCCTTTCTTCTGTAATCCCTTCCCTTTCAATACGCCGCCGGGCGGACCGTAAAAAAAGCTCCACGCTCTAGGGCGATTATGAAGCCGGACGAGCCGTGCCCCATGCATACACAGCTTCCTGTAGTAAATTAAAGGCCAAAGTCCCCCCTGTATGGCTGCCTGCTGTAAAGGCGTCGCGTCGCGCAGGTTGCTCCCGCGGCGGGGGGAGAGAGAGAGACTTAAAGATAGAGAGATGACAGGTGGAGAAAGAGTGGTCGGACTCTGCTGCAGGTGCTTGCCCCTTGCAATGCACCCCCTGCTGCGCGCGCCGCGCCCCGCCGTGCTCATTCAGTAGTAGTACTTGCCTCGCCGCCGGCGCGCTCGGAGCTCGGAGCTGTGTGGGGAGCGACTCCAGTTATGATAACGGGTAATTGCTTCCCAATGCACTTACTAACGGGTCGGTATATCGGCGACGATAACGTTCCGAGAAGGTCTGCAGCAGGCGGGCTGGACTATCCTCCACCACGTCTCTCCCCGCCCCAACCCGCCCCGCCCCCATGGCTTAATGGCTCGCGATGGTCGGCCGGAAGAAACACGCCGTGATAACCGAGCTATGCGATAAGAGTGGGGTTGCCGCCTCACCCCTCACCCCGCCTCGCCACCACGCCCCGTCGTCCCGTCTCACCACGCCCTGCCCCGCCCCCCGACGACGCCGCCACACCCCCTTCCCTTCCAGACTCAACTCGAGCGATAACTTCCCGACAAGGACGTGCTGGAAGACTCTAGAGGGGCAGCAACTGTGCACAAGTGAACGCTGAAATTAAAACGTCCAAAGATTCTATAATGATCAAATATTTAGAAGAAACAAACCCCTACTACGCCACCGACCCTCGATCAAGAACGACGTGCAATCAGCACCAGGCACCACAAGCAGGGGCCGCCGATTGTCTACAACAATGATTGACTCACCTTCTCTCCCCGGCTGAGGAACTCCCACATGGGGATGGCCGACCCGGAGACTAATCCACAGGTGACGAGCACCAGGAAGGCGACGATGCCCCGCATGGCTGTTGCTGCCTCCAGGGCGGCACAGTGACGGGGGGATGCACAGGGGGGACACCGGGGAGGGGAGGTCACTGGTAGACACCTCGAGCAGGTCGGTCGTGTCGTGATGCTCGAGCGAGCGCTCGTCGTCGGTGCACTCGGGGGGCGCGGCGAGTCGCGCGGTGAGTCGCGGTTACGGTGCGGCGTGCCTCTCTCTGTGCTCGCGGCGCGGCGGTCGGCTCTCGATTGACGGGCCGGGCGGGCCGGGCACAGCCGGGCGGCGCGGCGGGGGGCGGCGGCAGGGGCGGCGGCAGGGGCGGCCGGCGGGGCAGCGCCGCGACCTTGCCTCGCGGTTGGCGCTTCGGCCGCGCTCCAGCCGGCCGCGCCACCGTCGGGAAGAAGACGCGCGAACGCGCGCGAGCTTTGGAAGGTGGCGGCAGCGGTCGCAGAGCGCGTCTTCTGCATCGCCGTCATCCACCTCGAATTTGACGTGCCGCTGTAAAGTGGTGCTGTACTATGCGGGACGAGGACACCGCGCGCCACGGACACGCGCCGTATTGCCACAAAAGCTCTGCGCGGGACGCGCGGGGAAGGAAGTAGTGAAGGTGTGTACAATGAGGTGTTACGGGGGATCGTCGAATCTGACGAGCGGCGGCGCAGAAGGATCTTTTCCCAGTTTTCGGTAGAGAAGCCCCTCCCATATCGCGGGCGGCCATCTCACGGGCCGGACAGGTCCAGGGCGGCGCGCAGAGTCGCTTTCACGGCGATTTGAACGCCCGCACGGGCGCGGTGGTGTGCGGTTACACGCCGAGGATATGAATTGTCTCCGGTGACGCAACGACGCGTATGCGGTCCTTCTTCTGCATCTGCATCCCTCCATATGGCTCGCCTAGACGACTAGCGATTGAGGACGACGGCCATAGCGTCTCAAATTCCTTATTTTGCCTTTTTATTTCACTAAAAAACGTCATTTCCAGAGCACGTTGCCTCTTTTTTGCACTCGCACTTGAAAAAAAAGGTTGCTTGGTTAAACAGAGGAGAAACACGACGAGCTAGCCGCCGCGCAACGAGAACGTTTCCTTCAATTTCTCATACACCACAAAGCCAGGGTGATACGGTTTAGCTTCGCGCCACACCACCACCACCGCGTATAGTATAAGCGTTACGAACACCACGCGCGGAGCTCACTCAGACACACACGCCACAGGACTGATTTGCATTTTCTCTTTTGCCTCCCGCAGCCCAACCTCTTCCGATCGGGGCCCGCGTGCTGCGTGCAGTCGCGCGCGCGCACCCTCGCCATCATGCGGGCGCGAGGTGCAGCAGCACACGTCACTGCCGCCACCACCCCCGGCAACACCCTGCTCCTGCGCCCGGCCCAAACCCCGCCGTTACATAACGTGACATGGCCCGCAGACACAAAAGGACCTGTCCGTTGACCCCTTCCTGCCCCGCCCCACCCCGCCCCACCAAGAACACCACCTGCTGCAGCATTGGGCCCCGCTCAGCCGAAACCGCTTCCGAATTCCTGCCTGACCCACCCAATGTCATGCTAACCAAAACCCTGCTGCGCGATGCCCGGAGGCTGACCAGAGAAGAAAGTATTCTGCTGCTATTCCTGCCGCATGTTTTTATTTTTTCTTCTCCCCCCCCCCTTTTTTAGGGAGATCGGACTGTTTGCGCCGTGCTTAAACGCATGCCACTGTGGCGCTCTGCCGCTATGCATTTTATGCATTTAGAAGTGGAGCAGCGGAGCGCTCTCCTAGTCCACGTCGATGTTTTTCCCTTTGTCTACGCGCCGTCCCAGTGAGAATTGACAAGTCGAATCGACATCGCAACGATGCAAAACTGGTCGAATCGACATCGTTTCGACATGTATTTCTCACTGGGACAGGAACTCCACAAGGATGGGCTGGTGAAATGATGGGTTTGAAGTCACTCGAAGTGTTGTGGCCAGAGAAATATACGAAATATAATACATGGATTCGAAACATATAGATACTTTTTTGGGGTTCCTCCTAGGAAAATGTATAAGGAAATGGATTACCTTCACAGTATGTTCTGAGCACTGTGGTTGGAAGCGGCTGCGGCTGATCCCGTTCCGAACTCAGAACTCGCCACCGCTAGTTGGCTCTGTGGGTTGGTTGGGGGCTCCCGCGCCCTGTAGTATTTGTTTAAATGCATCCGGTGCTTTAGTCTTGTCAAGGATTATCTGTAGCTCAGGTACTTGGCTCCTGCTTACACCAACTTAAATCGGATGCAAAGAAGAAAAGCATTGCTGAACGAACCGTTTCCTCCCTCACTAGGGTAGTCGCGGTGGCGAGTCCGCGAACTTAATCCGCGTCAGCCAATAAGAGTCTAAGAGTCACGTAGGCAACAGTCCAGTTTCGCAGCGTGCCTAAAATGATGCGCCATCGGCTAAAGAATATAATTGATCCAGTCAATTGTGAAATAATTTCGTAAAATTCATTCAAAAGGACGTAAAATGTCAATAACTCCAGGTGCGTGTACGGGGTGAGTGCGTGGTGAACATTCCTGTTAGTCGAACGCACACCGCAGAATCAAACAAACCGAGCCTACGACGTAGAGGTTATGATGGCCGGCCATTACATTCTTCAACCATCTTCAGTTATGACTTTGCGGAGGATTTCGTGAACGGAGTGCACAACGCAGCCTTATCAGCTTTTGGACATGTCCGGTAAGTAAAAAGTCATTGAGAAACTCCGTTTAATCTGTATAATGGCGTTGGCGCACATTCGCGTCAGCAACACTAACAATGCAGTGTTACATCTCGCAAAGCAATGCTTTGCACACGCTTTGCCAATTGCAAAGACGTTGGGATGGGGGATGCTTGGGTATAGTTAGATTGTCCGGCCTACTTTTCTCCGACCTGGTAATTTTCCCCAAATCTCCCAAAGTGCTGTCCCACCTCGGTTTTGTCCTACTTATCTTTTTCCGACCTCGTCGATATGCTGAAATTGGGGAAGAATGTGCTTCAAAGAGGAACAGGCTTCAAAAGTAAAAAATAAAAAATGGGGGAGTACTTTCCTCATCCCACCGCAGTAGTTAGCGAACTGT